TCAAGACAAAACTGGGTTTCCTGCAAGGCTGATGTCTGTTGCTATTAAGTGAACCATAAGCAAGGCTTTGACAAAGGTGGATATTAGGGGAAATTGTTTTAGCAAAGGCCCCTATTTCCACGTCAACTGCCTCGACAGGCTCTGTATGTCTTTAGAGCACTGGGAAGTGCTGCTTTTTTAAACACTCTCATCCGCCCTGCCTCCTACAATCATACCTTAGCAGATGTCATCGTTGCGATCTTTTAGAAGGCGTTCTCTGTGGCTGAAATGCAATGGGAGAAGCTTGAGGAAAACCGGTCTCGCTCGGGCCTTCCCTCTGCATGTCAGTAGACTTCTGGCAGCTGTAAACATGTTCCAGTTGCTGAGCCAATAAATAGGGACTCCCTTTCTAGAGAGAATGGCTTGCACCACTGCATAGTAATTTCTAAGAAATAAAAAAGAGAGAATTTCCAAACAGGAGTTCCCTAACCTAGCTCTGTATGGGAATCATCTTGAGAACTGAAAAAAAAAAAAAAAAAAAAGATTCAGGACAGCAACCTTGACTTACTGGGTCAGCATGGGGGAGGGGTGATAAAGGAGCCTGTCTGTTTTTAAAAAGTACCTTTGGAGTGATCCAGTGATCAGTCAGATTTCGAGACTCCATCTGCTAATCCAGAAGGGGGCAGCGTCCTGAAAACAATCTTTTGCAATCATAAAAGTCATTTCCAACGAGCCTGATTGCACTGAGGCTGTTGAAAGCTTTCTAGTGACAGATTGGAAGACTCTTCAACTCCCTGGCAATTTGTTAGTCTCCATAAGAGAGGAAATGGCCAGTGGAGAAGAAAGTCCTTATGGAAACCCATTGGTGATGGGTCATTTAACCTCATTGGTGTACCTTAATGCAGCAGATGTGTTTCAGAAAAAAAGAGTACATAAATCAAATTGTTATAAATGGAATTTTTTAAAGTGTGTAAGGACACTTAGAGATTTAAAAGAATCTTGTGGGGCATTTTTCAAATCAGTGTTTTATTTTAAATGTAGTGCATGCTTAGAGTTAAAAAAAAAAATCCACACAGTAGAGAAAGGGATAATATGAGAGGTAAAAGTTACTTCTTCTCCTTCCAGCTCCTCTCAAATAATCAATTTTTTTCCAAATAAATCAAATTTAACCTTTCTTGTTTCCCATCCATTTTCATTGCATATTCCACCATGATTTTATAAAATCCATTTACTGGGGTTTCTTTTTTTTTTCACCTTTCAATACATGATGGGCACTATTTCATGTTGAGAGAGAGAGAGGCCCTCTCATTCTTGCAATGGCAAACTGGATGTACTATAGTCTATGTTAACTATTCCTCTACTTTTGGAAATTTGGGTGATTTCCTCTCTCCCTCCCTCCCTCTCTCTCTCTCTCTCTCTCTCTCTTTCTCTCTCTGTCTCTCACATGCACACACACATACACACAAACACATCCCAGTGCTCCAATGAACAGCCTGGTAAATATATCCTTGTAAATATATCTTTATACATATATGCAAATATACATGTGTGTGTGTATATATATATATATATATATATATATATATATGATAATATATGGTATACCTATAGGATAATTTCCCAGAAGCAAAATTGCTGGGTAAGAAAGTATGTGCATATCAAATGCGGCAGACATTCTCAAAGTGTATTCCCCCCAGACAAGTGCAACAACTTCTACTCCCAACAAAAGCATTCAACAATCCCTGCATTCCCACTCCCTCACCTCCTCTCCGTGGCATCAAACTGCTTCATCTTGGTCAAATAGGGGAAAATGGCATCCCATTCTCATTTTAACTAGTATCGATTTTACGTGGAGGCTGGGGGTATTTTCCCAGCCATTTTGGATTCTGTTGAGAATTTCTTTCACAAGGCAGAGAATCATTTTTCAAGGTGATCCTTCAGCCTCCATGATTTATCCCTTTCTAAGTTTGGGTTGTCACGAGTCAGCCAGAACAAGTCATTTCCAAGGGATAACCACGCACAGGTCACTCTTATTTTGCAAAAGCCGTCACTTGATCCTGCTCCGGTCCCATTTCTCTCCTTTGCTTTGCTGCCAGGAGGTTGATCCTTATTTCCTCCCCGCCCAGCCCGCAGCTTCCTCCTTTCCCTGAGCTCTGGCTCCTGTCCCCAGCACTCCAGCGAGCACACATTCTGGAAAGTCACCAAGGGCCTCCTGACTGCTACACCCTCAACCTCTGCTGTCATCGTTCTCCCTCATTTGTGGGAGCCTCTTAAGGGGCCCTACCAGGCTGGGCCTCAGTACCCCGAGAGACATTAACAAGAATGCCCCTTTCCATCTTAGGGTTATTGAGAGTTTTATTTATTTATTTATTTATTTATTTATTTATTTATTTATTTTTTGAGACAGAGTCTCACTCTGTTGCCCAGGCTAGAGTGAGTGCCGTGGCGTCAGCCTAGCTCACAGCAACCTCCAACTCCTGGGCTCAAGCGATCCTCCTGCCTCAGCCTCCCGAGTAGCTGGGACTACAGGCATGCGCCACCATGCCCGGCTCATTTTATATATATATATATATATATATATATATATATATATATATATATATATATATATTAGTTGGCCAATTAATTTCTTTCTATTTATAGTAGAGACAGGGGTCTCACTCTTCTCAGGCTGGTTTCAAACTCCTGACCTTGAGCAATCCTCCGGCCTCGGCCTCCCAGAGTGCCAGGATGACAGGCGTGAGCCACCATGCTGGGCCTATTGGGAGTTTTAAATAAAAAAATTAAAAAAAAAAAAACATGAATATGCTCTGTAAGCTGTAAAATTCAATGCAAATACATAATTGTCATATGTAAATACATAATTGTCGTTATTGTTCATCTGGACCCTGCGGTTCCCAGGACAGGGTTAAGCTCAGAGGAGATACTTCCTGCTTATTGATCAGCTGATGAACTGCCTCTCGTAGCTTTCTGTCTCTCTCTGAAGAGTTTTTTACTGAGTAGCTACTGTGTGCCAAGTGGCATGAGGGGTTGCTGTGGAAACAGGAGGAACCCCTTTGGGGACACCTCCATTGAGTGATGACAGAGCCCCCGCACTGTGCCTAGTAGCCCACGGGATAATGATACCTAATCCTCACACCAATTCTCAGAGACAGTTATCATTTTTACCTCTGTTTTAAAGATAGAAATCTGAGACTCAGAGAGGTTAAGTAGTTTACCCAAAGTTACACAGCTCGTAAGTGGCGAAACTGGGATTTGAATCCAGGTCTTTATGACTATTCTACATAATTCTCATTACACTTACACCCACCACCTAACATGCTTGTTGGGAAAGTTAAGTGAGACAATGTACATGCTTGATGAGAGGATATAGAGGTAGGTGAGATAAATAAGTACTTATAGACCAGGCGTCTTCAAACTACGGCCCGAGGGCCACATGCGAGTGTTCTTGCCCATTTTTTTTTGAGACAGAGTCTCGCTTTGTTTCCCAGGCTAGAGTGAGTGCCGTGGCGTCAGCCTGGCTCACAGCAACCTCCAACTCCTGGGCTCAAGCAATCCTCCTGCCTCAGCCTCCAGAGTAGCTGGGACTACAGGCACGCGCCACCATGCCCAGCTAATTATGTTTTTATATTTAAGTTGGCCAAGTAATTTCTTTCTATTTATAGTAGAGACGGGGTCTCGCTCTTGCTCAGGCTGGTTTGGAACTCCTGACCTTGAGCAATCCGCCCACCTCGGCCTCCCAGAGTGCTAGGATTACAGGCGTGAGCCACCGCGCCCGGCCCCGTTTGTTTTATTTACTTCAAAATAAGATATGTGCAGTGTGCATAGGAATTTGTTCATAGTTTTTTTCATAAACTATAGTCCTCCCTCCAACTGTCTGAGGGACAGTGAACTGGCCCCCTGTTTAAAAAGTTTGAGGATCCCTGTAACTAACTCCAGGACCAAGAATGTCAACATGGGTAACTCAGGCTCTAGACAGGATTGACATGAGCCAGCTCACAGGCCTTGGGGGCGCTTTGATGTTCCAGGTGAGCAGGAGGCATGATGATTAGTCTGTGCCACAACCAATTACCCATTCCCTCGTTTTGCCGCAGGGCTCCGTAACCACACCTGTTTTATTCACTCATTTTATGGCCTCTTGCTGGAGGGAGTGACAAGGAATCAGGTGTCATGCTAGAGTCCTGAGCTTGAAGAAAGGTCCCTGTAGGCAGAGAGAGCCATCTGCTTCCTTCAGAGAGGAACTTAAGCCCTCCGGTAGGACAACAGCATTTTTGGGGAAAGGGCACCCAGAATGAAGGGTTCTGAGTCATTCTGCAGGTTTATCGATAAGTCAAAGAGAGACAAAGTTCATTGGTAAACCACCATTCCAAAACATGAAAAACTTACCTATGTAGACCTCAATGTCCATGTGAACACACATGGACCCGCAGGACACGCATCCGAGCTCTATTGTGATGACTATGGCTGCTGCCATTTGTCACCCAAATTAAGACAACATCAATTGTAAGACAGGCCACTTTTTAATAGACTGCTAAAATAAATGCTGCCAATTAAATTGTGACATGCCACCATGTGTAAGATGCACCCTCATCTTGAAAGTGGTTGGCCGGGTGCAGTGGCTCTCGCCTATGATCCTAGCACTCTGGGAAGCTGAGATGGGAGGATGGCTTGAGGTCAGGAGTTTGAGACCAGCCTGAGCAAGAGTGAGACCCTGTCTCTACTAAAAAATAGAAAGAAATTAATTGGCCAGCTAAAAAATATATATATAGAAAAAATTAGCTGGGCATGGTGGCGCATGCCTGTAGTCCCAGCTACTCAGGAGGCTGAGGCAGGAGGATCGCTTGAGCCCAGGAGTTTTACATTGCTGTGAGATAGGCTGATGCCAGGACACTCTATCCCAGGCAACAGAGTGAGTCCCTGTCTAAAAAAAAAAAAAGTGATTAAAAATGTAAAAAAATATATGTGTCAAAATTGATAAAATCAGTAATAGTAAGAACAACTAAAATTGTGGTGTCTTCCAGCTGCTGATGGTCTTCCAGCCACATTGTATACCTTATCTCCTTCAATCTTCAGAACCTGGGGTGGGGCATCACTCTTCCTCTTTACGGATGAGGACACAAAGGCCTAGAAACATCTATGTCACACAGGTAAGATCACAGACGTGTCCCTGGCATCCGGATCCGTCCGACCATGCCCAAGTGCTCTTTCTGTCACCACCCCCCATTAGCTTGGAAAAGGTCAGCGTGTGCTTTGGAATGCCCAGCAGGCAACACGGAGTCACTGAGACCAAGTCAGGGAAGGAGCCTGGGTGGGAATGGTGCCCAGAGCTGCCACCTGCCAAATGAGCTTGGGACGTGCCGCAGAAGGCATGTCTGGCTCCCAGAATAGTTTCCCCAAGGTCAACTAACATCAAAGAACACGAGGCGAGTTCTGGAATGTGGTTTACCTACTGGCCATTATTAATCACAAGCGGCGAGCTGACAGTGAGGATGACAGTGAGCACCGTAGGGGGATGGGACTCCCTCAGCCCATCCTAACATCACAGGACATGGTTCATTCTGGAATGCTAGGGGTGTTGGGGACTAATAAATACTTATCTAGTTTAGAGGAATTAACTAATTAACTAATTAACCTTAACTAATTAACTAATTAACTTTAGTGAGCAGTGTACAAGTTCTGCCCAGGGCGTTTAAGAGTAATGTACTCCAGACAAGGTCGCTGCTTAGAGGTGTAACAAAGGGTCTGAGTTTCTGCAAACAGGCAAGAGCTTCCCAGCCCCACGTTAATAGGGGCCTGGAGGCCACACGATAAGCACATTGTTCCTATTATTGCTGTTTGGCCCTGTAAGATGGCTGGATAGTCAGTGACAGGTAAGATTCTTTGAGGAGGAACAACCTAAGACAGGCACAGCCGCGGGGGCGGGGGGCAGCCAGGAGAAACTGGGGATGGAAAGCGCCCCCTGTGGCTGCCTCGCTTAGCCTTGCTTATCTCAGCCTGTGACCTATGATTTGAGCAACCACCTGGAAATCTTGAGTCGAGGGACATCTGTGTCTTTAGGCTCCGTGTTCCGGAATTCATGGCCATTACTTCCATGCCTGGGTGGTCACATATAAGGAAGTAACTTTGATTTTTTAGGGTATAAAAATAAAACAACTAGTGCCTTCTGCACTGCAGCCTTGTACCGCCTTATGTGTGTCTGTGTCTTTCTTTTTGTGTCTCTTTGTGTTGTGTGTTCATCCCCCGTCCTGCAAACGGGCCACGGCATAGAGGCATCCACACATGAGGCTGGCTGGCCAAAGCAGAAGGAGAAGAGCTCCTTTTGAACATATCTCTGAGAAACTGCCAATGAATGAATGCCCAGACGACACCTAGAACCATTAGCACTCCTGTTACTAAGTGTGTACCCTCAGCCAAGGTGTCTCAACCTCCTCATACCCTTGCATGAAGTCCTCTTACCTCTATTGTCATCAGCTGAGGAATGGACCCTGGCAGGAGATCACACCAGAAGGGGTCAAAGTCAAATAATAAAAAGGCCAGGCCCCCCACCTGCCCAATCCCATTCAAGCCAGTTGGTCTCTGAAGAAGAAAACAGCTGGATGCTGATGTTTTTACAAGAAAAATAAGTTTTGTGATTAATAAGGGACAGTAGTGTCCCCAGGCAACGTTCTCAATGGACAAGTCTTAGGGGAAGCTCATTAAAAATACGATGCCTGCACTCTCTTCCCTCAGACCTACTAAATCAAATTATCCAAGAATAGATCAGACATTTGTATTTTACTTTTTTTTTAAAAAGTGCTCTAGGTGATTTTTCTGATCAGGGAAGTTTGGAAAACCCTGCCCTCCAGGCAGTTCTTGTTTCCATAGCTGGCAAGCCTTTGAAATAGGTGTCACCTAGGTGGGCAAATTGCTGGAATACAAATTAACTTCTTGAGACAAATGGATCATTGCAAGGTTCCTGGTTCTTACCTACTATTTTCTCAAAAAAAGGAGAAAAAAAAATCTTCCAGCTGATTTCCTGGATCTTGATGAGAATGAGTTGCACCCTCAGTGGGTGAAGCCAAGGAAGGAAACTCAAGAACTGCAGATCAGGGACCATAAGTTTGGTGGCTGCTGTTCAACTTCCTGCAAGCAATAATAGGTGAGCTCTGTGCTACTGTCATTTTGCAGATGAGGGTTCCAAAGCCCAAAGAGGTTAGTAACTTGCTGAAGAGTCAAATGCTTTTCTTTAGCTAATGGGAGCTGAAGAAACAGGAAGGAGTTTTGAAATCGCCATTTAAGTAATCCAGTCTCAATCTGGAAATGTTATTTTAGCCCTTTTAAAAATCATTAGGCTTTGAAGTAGGAGGAACAAGCCCTACTCTAAAGGAAATTGGTTTCCAATTTCTGTCATTTAACACATTAACTGTCATGTGAGTTGTATTTAACTCACGCTGGTTTTGAGCCCAGCGTCTTGTGAGGCAAAACCCCAGGCAAAACCCTGCAGTTGGTTTGTGAAAATCGTGCTTTTTGATGTTCTTATTGTTACAATTAATATTGACAATTTAATTCTAAAAATGTGGGTTAAATGAATAGAAGTCAATAACAAATTTTTCATTCAGTTAGAAAGGATTGTTTTGTGTTCGTTGTTTTTATTCTATTTTTGTAATAAAACACTGGCCTCAAGGGCAAAAAAAAGTTTTCTAGTCAATGTGTTAAACTCAATCAAAAAGAATTATTAAAACCCAAACAGGCTGGGTGAAGTGGTTCATGCCTGTAAAACCAGCACTTTGGGAGGCCGAGTTGGGAGGATTGCCTCAGGTCAGGGGTTCAATACCAGCCTGGACAACATAGCAAGACCCCAGTCTCTACAAAAATTAAAAATAAAAAAATCACAGTTGTCACCTAAAGAATTTTTTTATTGGTCCATTGTCTTATTGATAAAGATGGAAACATATTCATTGCACTTCAGCTTTACCAGTTGTGGTTCTAATTGTAAAGGGTCAAATTTACAAGAAACAGCTTTACTCTCTACACATATCCAAACAAAACTATCCTTGTATTATTAAAATAATTCCTTAGGTCTGTTGATCAAATGTCAATGTGCAGAAGAACCCCTTTGCAGCTTACTAAAATTACAGATTCCTAGACCTGAGACTTTAATTCAATAGGTTAGGTCTGGAGTGAGGTTCAGAAATGTGTATTTCAATAAACAGTCCAGTTGAGTCTCATAATGGGAATTCATTTATGAGATTCTGCACTAGTAAAACTTACTTCTAACTGCTTTCTACTCTTACTATTCTCATGCCAAGGGAGCCCATTTTTGTATTCAATATAGAATTTTCAGAAAAAGCTGAAAGAGCGCTGAGTTTCAAGAAAAACAGGTGAATTTCCAGTAGAGTGATTTATGAAGTGAAATAACTCACTCATTTAAGCAAATCGGCTCCCCCTTGTGGAATGTCTCCTATGGCAGGTGTGGGCCTCTTGGATGAGCCACAGGTCTTGGTACTGAGCTGATCCACACAACTCAACCAGGAATATTCCAGATGGTTGTCGTATCTGGAATTCTGGGGAAGTCATTGGTTTTCCGCATCCCACTTTGCTCTGTTTCTTGCATCTGCTCTGATGTTCTGAGTTCCTGTCTCACTGATGGCATGAGCAGAAATTAATGGAATTAGCCTGTTTCCAGTTTTCATTTGCACAAACCCATTTAAAATTTAATTCTGAAAAAAAAATTAATTCTGCAATGTCTGCTTTCCTCAAAGCCCTCTCTTTTTAGAGGTAAAATTCCTAGATAAACAAGCCACCAACAAAAGGGTTTTTTCCCTTGGCACTTTCCAAAGATAGATAAGCTAAATGAATTTTGTACAATAGGTTCCATCATCATTTCTAAAACAAATATTTTTTTTCCCAAAATCTCTTAATTCTATAGTAATCTCTTGTAATGTGTGTTTGCTGTACTATTTAAGATTATTCAATTCTGCAGTGGACCATAAACGAATCAAGAAGAGATGAAACTAAGCATAGAAAGCAAGTAGCTTATGAAACATTTTAGACATCACTAAGGTGGAGCAACACATGTGCTAACCATAGATAGAAAGGGCCAGAGAGACCAAGAGGCTCCAAATATTCCTTCTACACAAGGTAGAAACATTCTGAAAAGGGATGTTGTGTAGGACATGACATTAATGCAATGGTTGCCTTCAAGTACATGAGGCATTCAATATTCAATCTATGCGAGGTCTTAAATTGTCTCCTATTGGTGACGCCCATCCTGGCCCAAAGGTATCTGCCCAAGACACATGTAGGTCTCTTATCTGCTTTTTGGCAAGCTACAGATGTTGGCCAGGGGTACTGCAAGCATGTTTCCAGTAGAGCAAAGATGTGTTATGGTCCAGGTACCTTTTATCTGTTGGTGCTTTGCTGAAACCTCACCTGTGGTCCTCCTAAACATAGCATCACTGAAAAGAATGATGTGGCAGAGAAATGCCGTGTTTCCCTGAAAATAAGACAGGGTCTTATATTTATTTTTCCTCAAGAAGACACCCTAGGGCTTATTTTCAGGGGTGTGTTATTTTTTTTAAGTACAGTACAACCATCTGCATTTATTCAAATATAGTTAAGTCGTCTTCTTCTGGAACATCATCCTCACTCTCCAAACCCCGGATTCCATCCTGAATGTCTTGCAACTCTATTTCCTTTAGACCCATTGGCCCCGATCTCTCATGTTGAGCATTAGAGCTGTCATGGGGCAGATGAGAAGGGCTGCTCGTGTTCTTTCCCGCTCCGAGACGACATGCATGGGTTGTGCAGATGCGCTGCATAGCCACGCCCAGCACTAGGGCTTATTTTCATAGCCACACCCAGCACTAGGGCTTATTTTCATAGCCACGCCCATCACCAGGGCTTATTTTCATAGCCACGCCCATCACTAGGGCTTATTTTCGGGGTAGGGCTTCTATTGTGCAAATGCTTAGACATCCTGCTAGGGCTTATTTTATGGGTAGGTCTTATGTTTGGGGAAACACGGTAGAAGGTGGGGGGAGAAAGAGGAGGGGAAAGGGAGGGAATATAAACACTCAAAAATTCAGATAATGTGAGCCTTTCACCCTGTTCCTAGGATAACCCTATATGCAGCAAGTTACCCTAGCCCATCTTTCCCTTTGCTTCACACTGCGTTTAAAATTGCTTCAATGAACCATTCTATTTAAACATCTCAACTTGGTTTGTGAGTCTTTCCGTTAAGTGACTTCTTAGTTAGCTTGCCTGGTAGTGTATTTGGAAGCTATCATTGCATCAAGGAAATTTCTCACACAACATCCCTTATTTTTATCTTGTCTATAACTTGTTTTAAAATACATCAGTAGCAACAATGTGTAATGTATGTGCAAGTTAACATGCATTACCCTATCACACTGGGTGTGGCGAATTAACATTCAAAGTGCCCTGATCAGGAATCCACCCTCGGCATTTGAAGGGTCTTAATCAGGAATCAGTGCCCCAGAGAAGCCCCCTTCCCCAAGAGCTTCAAATACCCCTATTGAATCAGCACCAGAAGTTTTATTAATTAGCATAAGAGATGTTAAAAATAAGTTTTCATGTGTGAAATGTGAAGTTGGCAGGAAAATTTGTACAGGCATCTTCACTCTGGCATGGATGAGGTATAATTATCTGGCGAGCCCAGAAGCCTAATGCCTCCTGAGTGGCACTGAAAGTTTATAATTCAGTTGAATTCCGCATCATCTTGACTTACTGGAAAATTCTTTCAGCCGATCTGACTAGAAGATAGTGGATCCTGTCATCACAACATGGTTGCATTTGTCTCAGAATAAACCTTTCATGCAAAAATGCTATCAAAGTGCCTCAAATGACAGAGAGTGGCAACTTCAGGGAGTTCACAAGACTAGATGTGTGATTGTTTCGTGTCTGCTTGTTTGCATGCCAGAATTAGATCTAAGACTTGTCTGAGTTGTTTGATTCAGTAATATTGTTAAGGAGAAGAACTAGAGCCCTCACCTACCCTAATTATTGGAGGATATTAATATCCATCAAAAAAGAACACACAAGTTATGAAATTTTATTTAGGTTAATATGAGGTATGTATTAGTTTGTCCATTGCTTTGTCATAAATAACTCAAAAATTTAGTGGCTTAAGACAATGAGCATTTATTATCGCCACAGATCACATGTTTAGGAGTGGCTTAGCTGGGTGGTTCTGGCTGAGGGTCTTTTATGAGGTTGCAGTCAAGAGGCCAGCTGGGGCCGGGCGTGGTGGCAGATTATAGGCCAAGGTGGGAGGATTGCCTGAGACCAGGAGTTTGAGGCTGTAGTACGCTATGATCATGCCACTGCACTCCAGCCTGGGTGACAGAGCAAGACCCTATCAGTCAGGGCAGCTGTGCCTGCAGCCATCTGAAGGCTCGAGTGGGGCTGACAGACCAGCCTCCAATGTGGATCTCTCACTTGCCTTGCAGGATAGAGCTGGCTGGTGACAAGAGGCTTCAGTTCCTTACCGTGTGAATCTCTCTGTAGGACTGCCTACATGTCCTCAAGACACTGAAGCTGGCTTTCTCCCAGAGTGACTCATCCAAGGACAGCTAGGTGAAAGTGGCAATGTCTTTTATAATACAGTCTCAAGAATCACACATACTGTCACTGCCACATCTACCATGTTTCCCCGAAAATAAGACCTACCCATATAATAAGCCCTAGCAGGATGTCTAAGCATGTGCGCAATAGAAGCCCCATCCAGAAAATAAGCGGGTGATGGGTGTGGCTATGAAAATAAGCCCTAGTGATGGGTGTGGCTATGAAAATAAGCCCTGGTGATGGGCGTGGCTATGAAAATAAGCCCTAGTGCTGGGCGTGGCTACGCAGCGCATCTGCACAACCCATGCATGTCCTGGCGGAGCGGGAAAGAAGATGAGCAGCCCTTCTCATCTGCCCCATGAGAGCTCTAGTGCTCCACATGAAAGATCAGGGCCAATGGTTCTAAAGGAAATAGAGTCGCAAGACATTCAGGATGGAATTTGAGGTTTGGAGAGTGATGATGATGTTCCAGAAGAAGACGACTTAATTCTATTTGAATCAATGTAGATGGCTGTACCATACTGAAAAAAAATAACACACTCCCTGAAAATAAGTCATAGGGTGTCTTCTTGAAGAAAAATAAATACAAAACCCGTCTTATTTTTGGGGAAACACGGTATTCATCAGCTGTGAGTGGTTAAGTCTGTCCCACGCTCAAGGGGAGGGGAATAGTCTTTACCTTTCATAGGGAGGAATGCCAAATAATTTGTGGACAAATTTTTAAATCTCCGTGAGTACACTGGAGTCTCCTTCTTGCAAGTCAAATGGAATTTGTTGTGTGTTTTCCATATTCTTATAACAAATATTTGCCAAGCACCTACTATGTGCCAGGCCTTGCTGTGGGTGTTAGGCATAGAACGCCGAACACAGCAGAGAAGTGGGCAGGATGGAGGACACAGCCAGTTAACACGAAACCCAAGGGCCATACGCGGTGCCTCAGGCCTGTCATCCTAGCATTCTGGGAGGCCAAGGTGGGAGGATCACTTGAGCTCAGGAGTTCGAAACCAGCCTGAGCGAGAGTGAGACCCCATCTCCACTATAAATAGAAAGAAATTAATTGGTCAACTAAAAAATATAAATACAAAAAATTACCTGGGCATGGTGGCGCATGCCTGTAGTCCCAGCTACTCGGGAGGCTGAGGCAGGAGGATCGCTTGAGCCCAGGAGTTTGAGGTTGCTGTGAGCTAGGCTGATGCCACAGCACTCACTCTAGCCTCGGCAATAAAATGAGAGTCTGTCTCAAAAAAAAAAAAACAAAAAACAAAACAAGAAACCCAAGTGCAGTTGGGGACAGTAGCCAGGTGTCAGGAGGTGAAACAGCAGAGACAGTGGCGAAATGAGAGTACCTTCCTGTCTAAAGAAGGCATTCCCTCCCACATTCTGTTGGGGGATATTGGCTCAGTACTTCCAGACCTTCTGATCTTTCAAGAGACCTTAGCAATACGTTCATGTATGTAAAATTTCCAGAATTGTATTGTTAGTTATTAATTCAACTGTTTATAAAACATTATAAGGAAAAAAAAGTGGCCCTAATTCAACCAAAGTTCACCATTTTTATAATGTCTAGGCTTGAAAATAAATAAAAACCCTGATGATTTCAGGATGATGGAAACAAAATAACAGTCTAAAGAAAAGAACAAGTCTAAATGATAAGGTAACACTTCAGTGAGGAATTGAAAGATGAGGCCATCGTATAGAAATACAGATAGACAAAAATATTCACATAAAATGATAAAAGCTCAGATGGAAGTTTAGATAAAAGCTCTCCAATAGTGTTATTGATGACTTGAATTCTGATGAATTCCTCTATTTTAAAATGATGTTGGTAATTATTTTAAAGTTTAAAAACAAAAATCTCTGGGAAATAAAGTAGGAAAAATGGTGTTATGAAAGCAATTGGTACAGTCTGCATTTAAATAAAATGGATTGACAATCAAGTATGCAACATCGTGGATCATTCTGCCCTTTCCCGTTACAGAAAATAAAACAGTTACAGTATTTAAAAAATAGCTAGAAATAGAAATAAGGTAAAAATATAAAGATATAAATATGCCCTGAATCCAATTTGTTGCTTTTGGTGATTTAAAAATAAGAGCTATCACAGGAGTGCAAGACCAGCCTGGGCAACATAGCAAGACTCTGTCTCTAAAAAAAAAAAATTAGTAGAGTGTGGTGGCACATGCCTGTAGTCCCAGTTACTCAGGAGGCTGAGGCAGGAGGATCGCTTGAGCCCAGGGGTTGAGGGCTGCAGTGACCTATGGTCATGCCACTGCACTCCAGCCTGGACAACAGAGCAAGACCGTATGTCTAAAAAATAAAAAACAAAAAAACAAATAAATAAGAGATATTAATACTCTTAACTGATCATTCCTTTTTTTCCCCCAAAATTATTTATTCTGTTGTAAGTCTGCAATTTACAACTGAGAAATAAAAATGGTGATGTAGCATGTCTTTCTTTAATAATATAAACTTTGAAGTCAGTAAGATCTAATCTACCAGGCTTTCAAATTTAAATAAGAAATCATTACGTCTGACATTCTGTAAATGAAGCAGATTGGGTATGGAAATTTGGTTTAGGAAGGTGAATGACTTCTGCAGACATAAACACAGGATTTATATCAAGAGGGTGTTGGTTAGAACACGAATGTTTAGCTTTGGATTCTTGCTTCAAATTTTAGCCTCTGACCCTCACACAAGTTGTTACATCTCTCTAAGCTTTTTATGTTTTAATTTGTGAAATGGTGATAATGAGATACACACTTCCAAGTATTGCAGAGATAATGAGATTATGCAAGTCCCATGCACACTGCCAATGCCCAGTAAATGTCTGCTGTTGTTCACAGAGGCACATGCCTTCCATGTGGCTGCCTCCTGGGAGGGAAGTCAGTCCATGTCATAAAGACCTTTCTTACCCTTAAAATCCAAGGCGTTCCTTGTAGGCCACAATTTGGGCCAACAGCCGCTTTCTTCGAAGGTAGTTTAACGTCACCAGGTGGGTATTTGTTAAGTCCCTGAAAAACTGCCTTAATGGTCTTGCTATAGGTTCAGATCCTGGAATCCTGTCCAAGGCCCCCTCTCTCAGAAAGGGTAAATCACTTAAACTCTCAGCTCGTCTGCCTGGAGAAAAGAATAAAAAGTCACTTTTCCCAACTGTGATATTAATTAGTAGAAGTAAAAGTGTTTTGGAAATGCAGAATATGGTTAATTTTTAAAGGGTAAAACATAAATGTTAAGTTCATTGGAATTTTATCACACTGCGGAGAGAATGCAACTGTCTTAATGCCTTTTTTTTTTTTTCAGGAAAACATTATATGGTGGTGGAAATGTGGAAATGCTCAGCTTTCAGAGACCTGGGTTCATTCCGAGCAGAGCTAAGAAGGGCCTCAGGAGATGAGGCAAGTTTTTCAAAATTGAAGTAAAAAAAAAAAAAAAAAGGAATTAGGAATTTTATAGGACTGCTTTCTCTCTGAGATCCCTTTAGTACAATGAATTCGTTTCCGGTTTCCAAAGATTTCCACTATTGAATGTCTCTAGCTTTAATATGGGAATAATAGCACTCAAATTCTCTCTTTGTCACTCGGGGGCTCTCCGTCGAGTGCTAAAATTGCTCATTTCGCTTGTGGAAGGGAGGGTCCCTGAGTCACCGAATCGATGGAACGGATTTTACGAGCTGGTTTGTACCAGTGAGGTGTTCTAGAATAATGACTTGCTTAAAGAACTATTTGGCTTCTCAAAATGGAAGTCTTATCCATTTGACCAGTAAAGTTAACACAGAAACCCCCAAGGCGGGTGGGGTGGGGGAGCTGTCACAGCCCACCTGGAAATAAATGTTAGGGCTAATGAACAAGGACACTGACTTGTGTTTTAGTTGTCAAAGACTGTTACTTTTTATTTATTTATTTTAGATCACAGCCTTTAAAAAATGCTCTGTGGGGTAGAAGAATAACATGATCCACATTGGCCGGAGGAAACTGGGGCAGTAGGGCTTTGGCGACTGACTTGTCCTGAGCTTGTGACAAGCTAATGAAAGAACCAAAATTAGAATCCCTAAGTTCCTGCCCCTTCTTCTCCTTGCCCCGCTGACCCCTCTTCATTCCAGGCAAAAGCACTTCATTTTACCATTTCCTGTTTGGTCTCCCAGGGAATTCAGCCCCTCCTTACTCCTTTTGTCCAGACCTTCCAAAGACAGGAATATTTATCAAAGTCCTCTCTCCCAGAGCAATCTGCCCTGCACCAGCCATTTTCAGATTTTACATGAAGAACGGGCTGGTTGTTTCCTAAGACGAGATAAGCAGTGGGTAAAAAGAAAAGAAAGAGGAATAAAAAAGAAAATTAAAAATAAATAAAAATAAAAAAGAACAGGCTGGTGACAGCCCAGCATTTGGTGAACGTGTTTGAGGGGCACAGTGTGCCTTGGGGAAGGGACAGAGGATGATTAGAAGGGCTGGGAAATGGCAACCAGGATGGGATCCACTGAGAAAAGGAAAATAAAAATCTAAAGAAGGCCTGGAAGAGGAAATACTAAGGCAAAGAAAAATAGTAACTGGTGTTGTACAGTGATTGAGAGCAGAGCTGGAAATCAAAGGCTTACATGGTAGGAAAGAGGTTAGGAGAGGAGGAAATTTTCTGCTTCCCGGCACTGAGCAGAAAGGCAGATCACTTGATGATGAGGCTGCTGCTGGTGGTGGTGCACTTAGAGAGTTTGAACGCGGCGCTGCCTGGGGCAGGGGAATGAACTAAGTGAGTGCCTTGGTCATTGAGTCTCTGGGTTTTAGACTGAGAGGCAGGCGGAGGCATCACCTTGGTTAAATGCAGATCCCAGTACTGAAGATGGGGCTCCAGTCTGCATTTGTAACAAGCTCCCAGAGGATGCTATTTTTTGTTTTTTGAGACAGATTCTCACTTTGTTGCCCAGGCTAGAGTGAGTGCCGTGGCATCAGCTAGCTCACAGCAACCTCAGACTCCTGGGCTCAAGCAATCCTGCTGCCTCAGCCTCCCCAGTAGCTGGACTACAGGCATGCGTCACCATGCCCAGCTAATATATATATATATATATATATATATATTATATATTAGTTGGCCAATTAATTTATATTTTAGAGTAGAGACGGGGTCTCGCTCAGGCTGGTTCAAACTCCTGACCTTGGCAATCCGCCTGCCTCGGCCTCCCAGAGTGCTAGGATTACAGGCGTGAGCCACCGAGCCCGGCCCAGAGGATGCTATTGCTGCTGGTCAGTGGATCACATTTTGAGTAGCAAGGTTCAGAGGAATGCTGTTAAATAGAAATATGATGTAGGCCTGGCGTGGTGGCGCATGCCTTAATCCTAGCACTCTGGGAGGCCGAGGTGGGCGGATTGCTCAAGGTCAGGAGTTGGAGACCAGCCTGAGCAAGAGAGAGATCCTATCTCTACTAAAAATAGAAAGAAATGAATTGGCCAACTAAAAATATATAGAAAAAATGAGCCAGCCGTGGTGGCCCATTCCTGTAGTCTCAGCTACTTGGGAGGCTGAGGCAGGAGGATCGCTTGAGCCCAGGAGTTTGAGGTTGGTGTGAGCTAAGCTGACGCCACGGCACTCTAGCCCGGGCAACAGAAGTGACTCAAGGAAGGAAGGAAGGAAGGAAGGGAGGGAAGGAAAGAAAAGAAAGATGATGTGAGACACAGATATAATTTAAAATTTTCTAACAACCACCATCCAAAAAAAGGAAAAAGAAATGGAAAAAATTAATTTTAATATATTTTAACACAATATACCTAAAATGTTATATGAAACACTAGTATAAGTTTTTTTTTGAGACAGAGTCTCACTTTGTTGCCCAGGCTAGAGTGAGTGCCATGGCGTCAGCCTCGCTCACAGCAACCTCAAACTCCTGGGTTCAAGCGATCCTCCTGCTTCAGCCTCCCGAGTAGCTGGGACTACAGGCATGCACCACCATGCTCGGCTAATTTCTTCTATATATTTATTTTTAGTTGGCCAATTAATTTTTTCTATTTTGGTAGAGACGGGTCTGGTCTTGCTCAGGCTGGTCTCGAACTCCTGACTTTGAGCGATCCTCCCTCCTTGGCCTCCCAGAGTGCTGGGATGACAGGCGTGAGCCACCTCGCCGGGCCAAGGGAGCTTTAAAAATTACTGATGCCCAGGTTTCTTCCCTGGAGCTTCTGATTTAATTGGTATTGCCTGCACCCCAGGATTTTTTTATAAGCTTCTGGGAGGTTCTGGCATGCAACAAGGATGGAGGACCACTGGGGTAGACAAACTCTGGCCTCCATGAGGGCCTCAGAACAGGCCTTCTCCACCTCCTTATCCTGAAGGTGTCCTTCTCCAGCGGGGGCAGAATCACTGAATATTCACCATGACCTCTGAGAGACAGGGTTAAACTGCAGATTCCTGAGCAAAGCCTAGAACATGCTGGTAAGTCTCACTGATTTTTCTTTTTCATTTTAGAATTGGCCTTGTGAAGGGGCCTCAGGGACAGTGTTGGGCTAAGAATTAGAGTCACCTGGGAGCTTAAAAAAAAAACAAACAACATCCATCCTCAACCCCACCCCCCAGAATCTGATGCAATTGTTCTGGGGTGTGCCTTGGTGTCTTTGATTTTAAAGTCTCCCCCCCGGTGATTCTAATGTGCAGCGAAGATTGACATCTAGAACATTCCCTCTCAAATTATAATGAGCATATGAATCATCCGGGCATCTTGTTAAAATGCAGATTCTAATTCTGCAAGTCTGGGTTAACTTGCAGGTAATACTGCTGCTGCCGGGACCACGGTTTGAGTAGCAAGCGTATAGATGGGTGACAGGCAGTATGGCACTAGAAAGAACTGTCTTTGTTGTTTTTTTGAGACAGAGTCTCACTCTATTGCCCCGGCTAGAGAGCTGTGGCATCAGCCTAGCTCACAGCAACCTCAAACTCCTGGCTCAAGCGATCCTCCTGCCTCAGCCTCCCAAGTAGCTGGGACTACAGGCATGCGCCACCATGCCCGGCTAATTTTTTTCTATATATATTTTAGTTAGTCAATTAATATTCTTTCTATTTTTAGTAGAGACGGGATCTTGCTCTTGCTCAGGGTGGTTTCGAACTCCTGACCTTGAGCAGTCCTCCCGCCTCGGCCTCGCAAAGAATTGTCTTTGAATTCTGGCTTTTGCAACTTTACTAGCTTGTGTGGGTTTCAGCCAAGTCACTTCCCCTCTCTGAGCCTTTTTCCTCACTCACAAAATAGTGAGGATAATAATGCCTACCTCTACCCCATCCCGCGCCAGGTGTGCAGCACATGGTACCCTATTTGGCTGCTGCGAGCAGCACAGAAAGCCTAGCTGGATGTGGAGCCTCTCGAAGGTCTTTGCCCACTGATGCTAAATCATTTCCAGGAAGTTTGTCTGGCCTTCTAGCGGACCCTTTGTTAAAACCCGACAGATCAGGGCATTTAAATAAGTATTCCGAGGCCAACATCCATATTCCTCTGCTCTGTGCTGGGCTTTCTGCTTAGCAAAGCAGAATTTAAGGTTATCCATGACCTGCGCCGTCTGCTCACTTCTCATCCTCATTACCTCTGATCGGTCTCCCACCCACTTTGCTTCCCCCGTGCTCTGGATGAATCGGCTTTCTGTCATCATAAATCACAGCCGGCACCACGTGTTTCTGTGACCGGTTGAAATAAAGCCCCTCTTTTCTGCCCTCTGCCGGGCTTGCCCCCACCTCTGAATCTCAGTGGGTCCTCCATGCCCTGATTTCAGTGCTCGGAACAAACGCCCGGAGGAGCCCATCCGTCTTGAGTTGAGAAAAGCAACTCTCTGTTAAGGTAACTTATGAGCTACAAGTTCAGATCCTCTATTTTTAACCGTATGGAACACTTTGTTTTGCTGTTGTTGTTTTTTTTTTTTTTTTTTTTTTGAGACAGAGTCTCACTCTGTTGCCCAGGCTAGAGTGAGTGCTGTGGCATCAGCCTCGCTCACAGCAACCTCAGACTCCTGGGCTCAAGTGATCCTCCTGCCTCAGCCTCCCGAGAAGCTGGGACTACAGGCATGCGCCACCATGCCCGGCTCATTTGTTTTGTATATATATTTTTAGTTGGTCAATTAATTTCTTTCTATTTTTAGTAGAGATGCGGGGGCGGGGGGAGGTTGTGGTCTTGCTCAGGCTGGTTTCGAACTCCTGACCTTGAGCAATCTGCCCTTCTCGGCCTCCCAGAGTGCTAGGATGACAGGCGTGAGCCACCAACCACCAAGCCTGCAACACTTTGGAAGTCTATAAATCACATGACTGGGTAAACTAAACCAAAACTCCCACTTTTTCACATTGAAAAGAAGTTTGCATGTGTTCTGTTTTCCAAAGTTGACAGACAAAAAAAAAAATGTCAGCGGTGGCTTCCTGGCTGCACAGATGCAGCTTCCAGGTGCTTTCGCTTTGTTCTGAGTGTTAACAGTTCACAGTGGAAACTGATTAACACCATTAATAGTTTTCCAGTTCAACAGCCCTCTCCTATCTGAATTACTTTTAATATTTGTCTATTTCTCTTCATTCAGGCACCTGACTCCCTCTCAAGTTCAAGTTCCCATTGTGTCTTTTGAGGGATCAAATAAATTAAAAGACTTTTTATTCGTTTCCCTGTAGAGATGTCCTTATGCTCAGTAAAGTGACTGTAAATGTGTTTTCTTTTCAAATTAGAGGAGGAAAAAAAGATACAGCCTCTCCATATCAGTATTTTAAAAGCAAACTGTTTATTAATATTAACTGATTCAATAAGCAATTATTGGGTGTTTGCTGTGTTAAAAAAAAAAAAAACACCATGCTGAGTGCTGGGGAAGGAACCTACAAAGATGAAAATAATGAAAATACAAAGTCCCTGTCCCCAAGGACCTGAAAACCTGGGAAGGGAGAGAAATCTGCATGTGGGAGCACCTTTAATATGAGCACAATGTGAAAGATGTTTCTCAAAGCCTTCCTAGGTCCAATTTTCCTTGTACACTCTGTTCACCATGCAAATATTATCTGTTGTGTTATAATTAGTCGCCTACTGTCTGCTTGGTAGGGCTGTAAACACTCCGAGGTTGGAAACCTCCTGGCAGCATCTCTATGGTCCAAGCAGGGCATAGTACACAACAGGGGCTTGATGATTGAATGAAAGAGAGGGAGGGAGGGCCGGGCACGGTGGCTCACGCCTGTAATCCCAGCACTCTGGGAGGCTGAGGAGGGAGGATCGCTAAAGTTCAGGAGTTTGAGACCAGCCTGAACAAGAGCGAGACCCCCATCTCTACTATAAATAGAAAGAAATTAATTGGCCAACTAAAAAAGAAAAACTATAGAAAAAATTAGGCAGACATGGTGGCACATGCCTGTAGTCCCAGCTTCTCGGGAGGTCACGTCTTTGGCCCCGGCTAGAGAGCTGTGGCATCAGCCTAGCTCACAGCAACCTCAAACTCCTGGCTCAAGCGATCCTCCTGCCTCAGCCTCCCAAGTAGCTGGGACTACAGGCATGCGCCACCATGCCCGGCTAATTTTTTTCTATATATATTTTAGTTGTTGTCAATTAATATTCTTCTATTTTTAGTAGAGACGGGATCTTGCCTCTTGCTCAGGGTGGTTTCGAACTCCTGACCTTGAGCAGTCCTCCCGCTCCGGCCTCGCAAAGAATTGTCTTTGAATTCTGGCTTTTGCAACTTTACTAGCTTGTGTGGGTTTCAGCCAAGTCACTTCCCCTCTCTGAGCCTTTTTCCTCACTCACAAATATGTGAGGATAATAATGCCTACCTCTACCCCATCCCGCGCGCGGTGTGCAGCACATGGTACCCTATTTGGCTGCTGCGAGCAGCACAGAAAGCCTAGCTGGATGTGGAGCCTCTCGAAGGTCTTTGCCCACTGATGCTAAATCATTTCCAGGAAGTTTGTCTGGCCTTCTAGCGGACCCTTTGTTAAAACCCGACAGATCAGGGCATTTAAATAAGTATTCCGAGGCCAACATCCATATTCCTCTGCTCTGTGCTGGGCTTTCTGCTTAGCAAAGCAGAATTTAAGGTTATCCATGACCTGCGCCGTCTGCTCACTTCTCATCCTCATTACCTCTGATCGGTCTCCCACCCACTTTGCTTCCCCCGTGCTCTGGATGAATCGGCTTTCTGTCATCATAAATCACAGCCGGCACCACGTGTTTCTGTGACCAGGTTGAAATAAAGCCCCTCTTTTCTCGCCCTCTGCCGGGCTTGCCCCCACCTCTGAATCTCAGTGGGTCCTCCATGCCCTGATTTCAGTGCTCGGAACAAACGCCCGGAGGAGCCCATCCGTCTTGAGTTGAGAAAAGCAACTCTCTGTTAAGGTAACTTATGAGCTACAAGTTCAGATCCTCTATTTTTAACCGTATGGAACACTTTGTTTTGCTGTTGTTGTTTTTTTTTTTTTTTTTTTTGAGACAGAGTCTCACTCTGTTGCCCCAGGCTAGAGTGAGTGCTGTGGCATCAGCCTCGCTCACAGCAACCTCAGACTCCTGGGCTCAAGTGATCCTCCTGCCTCAGCCTCCCGAGAAGCTGGGACTACAGGCATGCGCCACCATGCCTGGCTCATTTGTTTTGTATATATATTTTTAGTTGGTCAATTAATTTCTTTCTATTTTTAGTAGAGATGCGGGGGGGGGGGAGGTTGTGGTCTTGCTCAGGCTGGTTTCGAACTCCTGACCTTGAGCAATCTGCCCTTCTCGGCCTCCCAGGAGTGCTAGGATGACAGGCGTGAGCCCCAAGGCCCCACAGTCTCACTCTGTTGCCCAGGCTAGAGTGCTGTGGCGTCAGCCTAGCTCACAGCAACCTCAAACTCCTGGGCTCAAGCGAGCCTCCTGCCTCAGCCTCCCCAGTAGCTGGGACTACAGGCATGCACCACCATGCTCGGCTAATTTCTCCTATATATATTTTTAGTTGGCCAATTAATTTCTTTCTATTTTTGATAGAGACGGGGTCTCGCTCTTGCTCAGGCTGGTCTCGAACTCCTGACTTTGAGAGATCCTCCCTCCCTGGCCTCCCAGAGTGTTGGGATGACAGGCGTGAGCCACCACGCCAGGCCAAGGAAGCTTTAAAAATTACCGATGCCCGGATTTCTCCCCTGGAGCTTCTGATTTAATTGGTATTGCCTGCACCCCAGGATTTTTTATAAGCTTCTGGGAGGTTCTGGCATGCAACAAGGATGGAGGACCACTGGGGTAGACAAACTCTGGCCTCCATGAGGGCCTCAGAACAGGCCTTCTCCACCTCCTTATCCTGAAGGTGTACTTCTCCAGCGGGGGCAGAAATCACTGAATTATTCACCACGATCCTCTGAGAGACAGGGTTAAACTACAGATTCCTGAGCAAAGCCTAGAACATGCTGGTAAGTCTCACCGATTTTTCTTTTTCATTTTAGAATTGGCCTTGTGAAGGGGCCTCAGGGACAGTGTTGGGCTAAGAATTAGAGTCACCTGGGGAGCTTAAAAAAAAAAATACCAACATCCATCCTCAACCCCACCCCCCAGAATCTGATGCAATTGTTCTGGAGTGTGCCTTGGTGTCTTTGATTTTAAAGTCTCCCCCCGGTGATTCTAATGTGCAGCGAAGATTGACATCTAGAACATTCCCTCTCAAATTATAATGAGCATATGAATCATCCGGGCATCTTGTTAAAATGCAGATTCTAATTCTGCAAATCTGGGTTAACTTGCAGGTAATACTGCTGCTGCCGGGACCACGGTTTGAGTAGCAAGCGTATAGATGGGTGACAGGCAGTATGGCACTAGAAAGAACTGTCTTTGTTGTTTTTTTTGAGACAGAGTCTCACTCCATTGCCCTGGCTAGAGTGCCGTGGTGTCAGCCTAGCCCACAGCAACCTCAAACTCCTGGGCTCAAGCCATCCTCCTGCCTCAGCCTCCCAAGTAGCTGGGACTACAGGCATGCGCCACCATGCCCGGCTAATTTTTTTCTATATATATTTTAGTTAGTCAATTAAT